TGGTCAGATTTAATCACATGATTATTGAAGATTTTCCTGTGTTATGATTGGTGTTTAATTTTTGGGGGGACAGCTGGGGGGGATGACGTTAACCAACTAATTAACTTTAAGCGGCCCAATGTCTTTTTTCAAATTAATAGATGTAATGTGGGATTATATATTTTTTGATGTAATAAATTTATCATTATCGTTTAGAAAACTATATAAATGTAAATGGGTGCCGTTAAAGAAAAACCTCTTATCAGGATTTCAAATTCATAATTTACTGCTCATAATCCTAAAAATTCGGTAGTTTGAGTACGATAAGCAAAAAATTTGAAATCTTGTTTTCCCTGGCAGCACGCATGTAAATTTTAAAATTACTTCTGGCAACGATATTACAAAAGATTAATGTACGTACGTACTGTCATAGGAGGAAGATCGTCTGATCAATTGCCCGGGTAACTTATTTATACATTTTAAAGTACTTTTTGATTACGCAACGTTTTACTAATAAAAAATCGCGACTAAAGCCATTTCTAGCCTTAAACGACGCTTATATTTACAGTGCAAAATAATCTCAAAATAATCCTAATCCCGACGAACTTTGCTTAGAAGACCAAATATGCCTGCCGTTTATTGGAATTAAAAAAAAAAACTTTTATTACTGACAATTGAATTTGAGTAAGAATAGGTTTACTGTAAAAGAAGTTCTGGGTTTAATACCTGAATATATTTAGTTTATGCGTAGTGTTTTGGTCCATCAGCCGTGATAAGTTTTGGGTTATAGATCGTAGATTGTATTAATGAGTTTGGGTTTAATAATATTGAATACCCACATTACATGTATCTATCTATTCTCTGTGTATTGAAATAAATTAATTCTTTGCATATTTGTTTAATTTGTAACTTCGTTTCTTTCGCTTTCTAGTATTATTAAAGCGATGAAAATTATGTGCTAATTATCACGGGTGATCACAGGTAGATCTAGCCAATCAGACGATCTTCCTCCTATGATACGTACACTGTACTGTCATTCATATCCTTTTTATTCAATACAGTACAGTACGCATTTATGTTTATATGATATAAAAGGGTGCATTATGCGGATATATAATATAGCACTTCTAAATTTAAGTACAGTAAAGTACGTTTAAAAACAGTATATCCTAATAAAATTTATAATAACAACATGTATATGTACGTACAAACACGTAAAAAAAAGTATTTCTAAAGTACAGTATCTAGTTACTTTCTAGACGTATTATAATGAAAAAAGGTTACGATTCATCATTATTTATTACTTTATTTGTAAATTGTTTTTAACTTCGTTATTATAAATACTGTAATATTGAATCACCAATGTAAAAAAAAAATTTAAACAGACTTTTACTAGACGCACCTATGATGTTTTACACCGGATTCCGATAACTACTTTCCAATGTCGAAATTCCGACAAGTTAGCCCGCATTTGATTAGGGTTAGCGTTAGTTTCGGTCAATTTTTTGTCAGGATTTTGTTTGTCAGGAAAGTAATTATCAGGAAATGATAGAGACTCGTTTCACGCATATCATGCATTATCTCAAAAACTGCATAATTAATCTGTGTGAGGTATTCTAATTAAAAATGTTCTGCGCTCTCAAAAACCCTTCTCAAACCCCAATTCTAACTTTAAATCCTAACCTTAACGTGAAAAAATTGGGGCCAAAAATTTTATATACAGTACAAAACTTATAAATACTTAGAAATTTTTCAAGAACATAATAAAAACATATAATAGATGCTAAACCATTATAGGTGCGTTCTATAATAAATGCAAAAAAATTATAACCATTTCAATAACAATTCAGTTTCCTGAGGTAAATCGATATCTGATCTAAATATTTTGGCAAGTTCCCCTGATCTTCTTTTTGTTGGTTCATCATTAACAACATCAATTCGTCCTTCATCATCACCAACTGCACAGGTTGATATATCTATTACATTAGTATTATTTATATTATTTATATAAGTTTCATAAATTCGAACTACCTATCAAAAGATCAGATGAAGTCGACAGATTTAAATAATGCGATGATAAATCTAACGAGCAATATTGAGAAGAATCCTTTAAATGAACAGGTTCTGGATGAATTAAATGAATATCTTGATCATCATTTTGATTGTTAAGAGATATATCCTGCTTGAAATAATCTTTTCCAACCAGAAAAGAAAAGGTATTAGGTTTATTGCCATTAAAAAAATTGATCGATAAAATTTCAGATGAAATTAATCGAGATAAACTTTTTGGAGGAGAAAAAAGTTTAATTAATAGCATGTATCCTAACCATTCCAAAAAAGAAGGTCGTGACTCCAAATTATTATTATTATTATTATTATTATTATTATTGCTAATAATATTATTATCAATAACATCATTATTGATAATATCAGCATTATTGCAATTTAGAATTTGCAATTCAACAAATTCATTGGATTTTCCTAGCATGCTGAACTCATCTGTAACGGACTTGTTGTGAAATCGATGAGGATAATGACGCTCATAAGACTTTACATTGGTGATCCATAATTGTAGTTTAATAATCTGGAAAGCATGAATAACAGCAATGTCCTGAGAAAATGCCAAAGCATTCAGTAATCCTAAGATGCAAAAGGTTAATAATCAAAGAATGATCAAATAGCAAGAAAAAAAATTATGACAATATATATACACCTTGAATTGATATGCCAACGAAGCAAAGTAAAAGTAGAGGATAAGAGATCACACGATTAATATAAGCGTACGTTTCAACGAAAGAGCCAAAAAATTGGGCTACCAATGGCACTACAGGATACCACACGATCCTTCTGACAACCGAAGAAACCACTGTCTTATTAATTAAAGTAGGATGGACAGATAACTGAGAAATCGAAGAATTCAAAGCATCAATATTCTTGGTCGCAGATCTGAGTTTTCTAATGACCATAATAACAACAGCCGCACAGTACAATATGGATGCATCTATCCACCCGTAAAAAGTAACCCATTGCCATATTATATTATGTTTTTGATCCGAATCACGATACCAACAATGGCTGTAATAAATATAATATATAATAAATATATGAACATATGAAATAAAATATGTTGTAAATTAACATTAATGAAATGATATGGAACAAAGATGACATAATAAATATACTATATACAGATACATATATAGAGGTGCCAGTAGAAACTAAGAAATTTGTTTCTAAGTAAATTTTTTTAAATTTTAAATTAAAATATCATAACAACTATTAAACTAAACTTAAACTTGACAAATTTTTTTTATTTTAA